GTAATTAAGCAAGGGGTTAAAGCAAAAAAAAGACATTTGACTGAAAATGTTCTCATGGAAATGTATCACATCACAGACAAAGTCCGTCATAGCCATCAGTCTGATCATTTAGTACTAATCCCGTCCGAATAGGGCTTATGCCAACACTACCTGTGCAGCAGCAATTTCTGCCCCATTCCTCTCCTTGTCATTTCGGTGATGATATTCTTTACACGACACGTCAGACATACGTTCACGGTGTTGCCAGAGGTCATCTAGATGTTCCTCCATCTCTGATGTCCACCGAACTTTCTGGTGTGCCATGCCGCTGACTGTTTTTTTTTTTTTACGGTGTTTCCTCTCCGACTCGTCTCGTCTTCTGATTGGCTACACGCCGCAGTCATGGCAACGTGCTCGTCTGTCCTCGGGGGACACCACACACGAAGAGAAATCGGGCCAAAACAATCCAACATCTTGGATATCCCCGATATTGAGATCGGAGCAGTCCCGAAGTCCTTCCGAGCGACGAGCACAGTCACACCACACACGGCAGGACAATCCATCAGATTTTTTGTTACGATATTCGGAGCGTTCTTACGATTGTCGTAGAGGTAAATCGGGTCCAAAATCGGCCTAATTATCCTGCCGTGTGAACCAGGCTTAAGGGGAAAGTCTAAGTTGTTATTTGTGAATGAAGAAGATTTTTTTCAGTAAGCTAGGCCCTATGTTCAACATAATTGTTGAATTCTAAATGTTTATTTTTTTTTTTCATTATTTTTTGCTAGAAAAGCCCTCTCACTTAAGCTTAAAGCCCTCAAGTTTACATTGGTTAGTGTATTCTTTCAGTTGCCTAAACAAGTATTTTGGGTGAACTTTTTTATTTTATTCTATTGAATGCTAAACATCAAGTGTTAATTTCATCTGAAAGAAGAATAACAAGATGCCCTTTTTTAAGTAAGCTAGAACAAGCAGAGCAATAAATATATTTTGTTGATGTTTTTTCATTCAGATATGTGAATCAACATGTATACATTGCTATTAGTCAATTAATGGGGAGATGATCAAGAATCGAAATCGAATCGAACTGAAAAAATTAATTGTTAGATTAATCGATCCATCAAAAAAATAATCGCTAGATTAATCGTTTAAAAAATTATCGTTTATCCCAGCCCTAAGGGTGGGGCTTTGACTTTTGCACAAAAATCATATTCAAAAGTTTTTTTTTTTTATAATTTAAATATTCAAATATATTTGAATATTTCATCATAATTTGTTATACAGTTCCTCACAGCAGCAGTAGAACGCTCCATTGATTTGAATGTAATTTCAAAACGTTGTACCGATCATAATTTCTTGATAACGGACAAACAAACTAACAACGGCCGCTGCCCTTTGGCAACGCACACACACACACTAGCGTGACGTTCGCTGTCCTCCACTCACAGAACAAGGAGCGGCGCTGTTACGAGCAGGCGGCGTCCTCTAGCCTCTACAGAGCTGCTAAACACAGTAGCATGTTAGCAGAATTGGCTATAACTCCTCTTGCTGTAACTGCATACAAAGCAAAACAGCCTAAACGACACAACAGTGAGGAAGAGAAGAGGGAACTAAAGCGAAAAAATTATCGAAGAAGAAATCAAGCCCGGGTGAACATAGCTAGCTTACATCGTATCCTCTGGAGAGACTTGTCTATGGAAGAGACCTGTGGGACCGCCTCGGACTATCGATGCTTGGACCACATTCGGATGCGGAACTAGCGGTAATCTTTCAGTTATATAATTTGTTAGCAGTGCGTTGTTTTTGTACCATTTCATCAGTGATTGTTGTACAGCTTACAAGAAGTTGCACTCATGCTAATGTTACCATACGTATCAGAACGCAAATACAACTAGATGGCTCCGTGGAATGAGAGCGTAGGGGAAATGAGAAGCCTGTGAGCGAGTTGAGGGGCGGTGCTAAACATTCAAACCTTGCAAAAACGGGTATAGCTCCTTTAAATGTTAATCAGATAATATATTATACATACATTCTTAATGCACATATGCACAGAGGTTTTCAGAATTATCTGTTAACGTTTTCAAGACAAAAATACTGTTTTAATGTGACAAAATCAGCGATCGCGGTTGACATTGGAATGTTATGCAAGTTATCATTTTGGTAAATCATATATGGCTAGATTTTATGCTGTATGCTAAAATGGCTGTATTTTAATTCACTTTGGTGCCAGGAAGTCTGGGGGAGAACACATGGAGCAGGCTTTTAGAACGCTAATGGGGAAGGCCTTGTCAAATTGTCCTTTTGTTGTCTGTTGGTTCCTCTTCCTGTGGAAGGTATGTCTTATCTCCTTCAATACTTACAGCTGCTCTGAGGAAGACCTGTCCTGAGAGAGGCTGAGCTGTGTGCTCTTTCTCTGTCAAAACATTGTCTCCTTGTACATGAGGACGGGGGACACAGTGCTTGTAAACATATGTCCTCACAAGCAAAATATTAACTGTTCGTTTGTTTTGTGAGATTTTGTCAGGTTCAACTGTGGGAACTAGTTGGGAAGTAACCTGGCACGGCTGAGTGGATAGCACTCTCGCCTCTCAGCAAGAAGGTCCTGGGTTTGAATCCCGGTCGGAACAGGGCCTTTCTGAGTGGAGTTTGCATGTTCTCCCCGTGTCTGCATAGGTTTCCTCTGGGTGCTCCAGTTTCCCCTACCACTAAAAATATGCTCACTAGGTAAAATCCTCCAGCTCCAGTAGTCCTGACCAAGCCGAGCATCAACATCTGGAGATGGGTTCCCGGGTGCTGTACTATGGCAACCACTGGTCCTGACATAAGCCTTAGTGGCATCAAGATGGGTCAAATGCAGAGGACAAATTTCCCTACGGGGACAATAAAGAGCACATTTACAGTTACATTTTACTAGCTAGCCTAGCTGTTACCCATCTAGCCACGTCACGGCGAAACCTTTGGAAACTAACTATTTTATATCATTTAAAAAATATAATGCCCAAAACAGCTTTGATTATTATGGGCTGTCTAATATTTGTTTTATTATTAATAATAAATATAGGGCTGTCAAAATTATCGCGTTAACGCGCGTTAATTATTATTTTTTTCATTAATCGCATAGAAAAAATTAACGCTTTTAATGCATGTGCCAAGTGACTGGAACGCCGAGCGCGTGACCGCGGGGCAATTGCTGTGAATGGGAGTCCGGAGCGTTCTGGGGCAGCCGCGGCCACTTTGGACAGCGGTTCCCGCGTCCAGCAGCTGTGAGAGGCTTTCAACATCACGGGAGCGTGCAGCCATAATGTGGCCATGTACCCAAGACCTTATACACGCACAGTAGGGGTGGGAACCTAAGGGTACCTCACGATACGATACGATACGATACGCGATACAAAGCTAACGATAACGATTATATCACGATAACGATTACCGATATATTGGTCAGCAATTGGTTAAAAACACTGACCGAGTCGTTAAGAAAGCTCGTCAGCGTCTCTACTTTCTGCGTAAACTTAGAGAATTTACCACTAACTCTAAGATTCTGCTTAAACTTTTATCGCTGCACCATTGAGAGTTTACTTGTTGGTTCTGTGTCTGTGTGGTTTGGAAACATCACAGATAAAGAAAAGAGAGCTTTAAACAAGGTGCTCCGCTCTGCAAAGAGGACCGTGGGATGTCAAGTCAACAGACTTGGATTGAGTGGATTATTTTAGCTGAACCTTAAGCAAGAAGAAGAAGAAGCAAGTATAAAATCGCGATTAAGAACCATATGACAAATGGAGTACCTCACTGAAAAAGTTATGTGCACCCCTGATTATAATAACGGCGTGAACGGAGAAGGAGGAGGCGGAGTAGGAGCAGCCCTTATTCAATGGTAAACTAAAAATCCATGTGAAAAAAATTACTTCTCACCTGTTCTCAGGTCAAATATTTATATGCGATTGAAATGCGATTAATCGAGATTAATTAATTACAAAGCCTCTAATTTTAAAAATTTAAATCGCGTCCCGGCCCTAGTTGAGATGAAAAAAATACTGTCTACTACAGAAAGACAGAATGTTAAAAATGTTAATGCCATTTTATATGGATTTATTGTTATAATAAACAAATACAGTACATATATACACTATGTCATCATGTATCTTTCCATTCAACCATTTACAGAAAAAAAGGCATAATTTTGCCGATAGTTCGAAATGCGATTTATTACAATTAATGAATTTTAAGCTGTAATTATTAATAATATTATTATTAATAATAATATTATTATTAATAATAATAATAAGTGTGAAGAAGCTAGTCCGTGCAATTGACGTTTGACGTTAAACCGGTCTGTTGCACTAAAAAAGGTTGGAGATGGCTGGCCATAAGGACACGTTATGCCGCATTCAGACAGGATCATGCTTTGCGTCGGCTTTCAATGCAAAGTCAATGGTGACGCGCGTTCAAGCGTCAAAACGCACAAACGTCTTGGAATGCACGCACGGACCGCGTTGGGAAGTCGAAGGGGAGGAACGCAGGAGATGGATTTTGCTCAACCTTTCCTCGGGACGTTCGTGCAGCAACCAATCAGAGAGCCGCAAAGTGGTCTCGGGGAAATTAGCGGACTGAGCGAGCAGACTGAAAATACTCGTAAACAGCCAAAACAGGAGCTACACCAGGACTAAACCAGGGTTGACAATGGGGGATATAGTGCTTGATAACATGTGAGTTTTCATGCTCCGTTAGCATCAGAGCCCGCCGGCTAATTCCGGCACTTCCGGCGCGCACCAGGACCTCAGGTCTGAAGACCCCTGCGTCTGAAAACTAGAGAACGTGCGTTTCAGCGTTGCCTGTATGAAAGCACCATTAGGAAGGTGTCAAACGTCCAACCTTCTAGTTGACTCTTGGCCTTCCATCTGTTGGCCCATTTAGTTATGTAATAAATATTTACACTACAGAACTACACTTGTTCTTGCTGCATGTCTGCTCCCTGAGGAAAACTGAACCCTACAGTTGGAGCCAGGAGCAGATGAATGATTTACCTGTAGGAGGTCATCGCTGAGCACTTCTGTTTTCTCTGCTCTGTGGGTGAGAAAGAACAACACAAGAGAAGCTGATTAGTACTGACGGACATGCAGACAACAACTGCAATGCATGACACAGCTCAGCAATCTGTAAAATGTCTTCAGGACAATACATTTCCTGACAAACAGGTTTAGTCTCTATCCTAACTCTTTAACATTTTTTGTCATGGGAAAGTTGCGCATAGGGTGGGTCTAACGTGACTCACCAAATATGACAAGTACCCAAAATCCCAGCCTAATATTAAAATGGCACTTAAGTGTTACCTAGTGCTGTCCAGAGACAACACGGTCTTACAACACTGCTCAGCCGGGGCCTATTAATAGTAAGCTAATAGTTGTGCTGGGAGAGGTCAGACAGATTAGATTCACTTAAACGGAGAAGGCTGGAAAACGCCTGCTCAGCTCCATACGGTTATCAACACCTTCACATGGTGCAGCAGCAGGCCCCGAAACACACCCAGAAGAACTGCAGAACTTGAAAAAAACATCATTTTGAAATATCAACAAAATTAAGATGTTCTGAGAAGCTATATTTGACTGTGACCCATTATATGTGAAACTCATATAATAAGAATATGAACATATGACAAATAAAAATTAGGGATGTAAAAAACTATGAATTTTCATGACCGACCACCGAGCCTCATTAACCGGTTGAAACCGGTTAACCGCGTAGTTTAAAATAGTCCACGTTCTTTGAAATAACAGCCATTTCGAGCTGCGTACTTTTCATGTGCAGCTGAGCATTCTAATGGATCAGAGCGGAGACAGCGGCACCAAAACCCGCAACAGCTTGGGCACCTTTGCGCACAGATAACTGCTGTTTTAATCTTCCCATTATTCTGTGCTGCGGCTTAAAGCATTTTTAAGCAAAAGACAGCTCGTCCACATGGTCAGGGCAGCGAGTGACGAGCCGCGTCTCGCAGGTCTCCGCTAAGTAAGTAAGTAAGTAAGCTTTATTTAAATAAAGTTTAAAAGTGATCAGTGTGGAGCTGATGCCAAGGACCAGCAGCACAAACATGGTCCATGTGGTTTGACTGGAGCCGTGTATTTGCAAGAATGCTTTGGGCTCCGTGACACAGAGGAGCGCGACAGACCGGTATGTGTGTGTGTACAATACATGTATGTATGTGTGTATATGTCTGTGTGCGTGTATATGTAAGCTATGTGTGTGTGTGTGTGCAATACATGTATGTATGTGTGTGTAAATATAAGCTCCAATGTAGTTCTGACCCGCACCAGTGTGCAACTAGCAGACGGTAACACAGGGGAGAGATGATGCGTGTGGATGTTACGTGTTAATGGAGGGGGGGGGGGGGGGGGGGGGGATGTGTGTGTGTGTGCGTGTACATGTGTGCGTGCATATGTGGCGCGTACGGCGTGAGAGTCGGCCCAGAGTTTACTGTTACATTGGCGCACACAGCTAGATAGGGACCCGCACGTCACATCGTGCAAATATGGCTTAAAATAGCGTTATGAAGAGACCTCCCCTCTCCCCCTTTTCTCTTTGACCGGTTAGAGAAAAGGCCGACAGCTTTGACCGGTTAACGCTGTGACGGTCAACCACCGGTTAAACGGTCACCGATTTACATCCCTAATAAAAATAATAGCCTTTGTTTGAATTTTGATTTATGTGGGTTACAGCATGTAAAAACTCCAAATTCAAAATCTCAGAAGATTATAATATTGTGAAAAGGGACTATATTGTTGGCTCAAGGTGTCCCCCTGTCATCAGCTTATTGATCCAAAACACTTGCATCCAAAACTGCAGACTGTAGAGACTTGAAATGGTCTTTCAGTCTGGCTCAGTAGAATTCACCATTATGAGAAAGACCATCATTTATTTACAGCTAGTTTTCAACTGAAATCTCTAGGCAAGGTGTAAAATGCCAATAAAATACACTGCAAACCTTATAACATAACAAATTAATACTCCCTTCATAAGAATCAAAAGATAATAGCAGAGGACATGGGATGTTCAAAGTGCTGCATCAAAAAATGCGGAAGAAAAGTGCACTGAAAAAATACCACACACGGATCAGGGACATGGGCGACAAACTTTCCTCTGGTTAAGCTGCTACAAACAACCCATCAGGTTGTGTTTACATCTAAAACCACAAGAAATAAATGCATTGCTTTTTTTGTTAAATGAAAAAATCTTTACCTTACCTTCAAAATGTCTGAAATTGGTGAACTTTTTAGCTATTAAAACAATCTATGGGCTGAAAACAAGAGAGAGATCACGTTCACAACATGTAATCCAATACGGCAGAGTGATTTCATGCCCACTTTTTTGCGAAAACTACCCACAATGCCGTGCGGTCGAGCCGGAAGCTCGGAACTCTTAATGCATGTATTGGTCCATAGGGGAGGTTTGACCAATGTGCTCTATATTTTTGTGTTTGAACTGTTTGATTCTCTGATTTGTGTTGATGATTTTAACAGTTTTGTTAAAGCTGCACTAACTGACTTTAAATTCGTATTCTCTACGAAAATGCAATCCATATCCATGCAGTGCATTATATATGGATATACGTCCTTTTGAAGAATAAGTAGCGCAGGTTTGTGCTGACGTGACATATTTTAGATAGAGTTTTCATGAAACAAGGAAGAGAATGTGGTTCGGGTCTCAGATTGTGACCAATCACAGCGAACCGCTGGCCCCCACTTTCTTGAGAAAAGCTAGACGTCTCTCGTTAGCACAGACAGCTGAGTTAACACAACAAGCGGCAAAGGCTAACCTGAAACTTCCCGTGTCTTCGTTACTGCTCAGTGCTTACATAGCGAAACATCCATCCAAAAGAGTCTCGTCCTCTCCGCGCTTCCCGCTTCTGTCATTCTATGGTCACGCCATCCACGTGCAAAAGTGCCATATTGTTCCATATTGTGAGACGCTAGTAAAGTCCTCTGTAGGGGTGGGCAATATATATTGAAGACGATAATATCGCGAAAGTGAAGATATGTAGTGACGACAATGCGAAAAACCATATCAATACATATTGTAATTAGATTTGATTTTTAATGTTAATATATGTTTCTGCATGTTTTGCAAATATGTGCAGCGCTTTACACATAATCTATAGATGCCTTGGCAAACAAAATATTGCAGATCAAGATGATTGATTTTAAACGATCGTTTATAAGAGATCGTTATTGGGATTTGAAAAAAAAAACATTGAGGTATTTATTTTGCCTATATTGCCCGCCCCTAGTCCTTTGAGATCACTACTGTTGTGATTTATTTAGGGCTATACAAGAATAAATTGAGTTGAAATGAATTTCTATTGAAGCACACCTCAGCAGTTCCTCAGGTTGAGAGCATCCAGAACGACCCCGTTATAGCCTATTGGGTCAGGTGAAGAATGTTATAACACTATACACCAAACAGGGAAGAATACTTTGAATATTGACAACCCGTAACAAGAGAAGATCTTGCCTTTATAAAGTTATTCCTGTAGAAATAGGTTTGAAATTGTTTATATTGCTCCTTGTGTCCGTGTGACTTTAGAACACAATTTGTTTTAAAAAGGCAAAAGATGTTTTTAAAAGCCAACACGGGTCCAAACCACACGTCAACCTTTCCCACTTTGCCGGGTCAACACAGCATTTCATGAGCGTGTGGGCAGCAAAAGTATATCTTGCTTGTTCTTGAAATGTACAGGATTTACATTTGTTTACATTTTGTTTATATCCAGTGATAAAACCGCAGATTGCCATGTTATCAGAGGACGTTTCCATGCATGTTAGCAGCATAAGTCTAAACCGCAAACCCCAGGTTTGGACCCGACTCTGGACAACAGCAGGAGGCCGGTCAGCAAGGTCTGAGAGTATTGTTCAGATTTGTTCAGCAGAGAAATTCTTTGTCCTCGTTTACAAATTAAGATATATACATAGGAAATACAGTACCTTTTTATGGGTGGAAATAGCTAGACACATGATATCCTGTTTTTAAATGGTCAAACACATTCCACCTCTCTTAGCTCAGCATTTGATAATAGCCTTTTATCGCTTTATGTCAGAAACTGCACCAATAAACATATCAACAAACTGAGGTCAAGTGCATCCTGTGATCAGAGAGAAGCCAGCCGGTCCAAATAGTACTTTTGTTGGGACAAAGGGGAAAATTATCTTTATAAGCCTAAGTATATTTTGACTAATCTATTAGTCGCTTAGATCCTAAAAATGTCAGCGAATGTGGGATTTTGTACATTTGTCAAAACAAAGCTCAAGTGATGCCCCGGGAGAACATCTTCAGGGGGCTTAGAGGACTTGTTACACATTAGGGTGTTTGATTAAAAAAATCTTCTTTGTGCTATATTACCACCTTCCTAGGGCACTTTGTAGGCAATTTCAACATTTATACAAACCCATATAATCATTTTGCATTATGGACGGTTATGCACATGCGACCGCACAGATAAATCTATATGTGCGCGCCTCCAGCAAAGTCTCATTTTTGCTTTTCCCCTTTCACATCTCCTCCCCCAACTACTCTTTTACAACTCCAACGTTTGATCAATCCTTTTCACCCAAATTAAACCTTTCCAAGTACAGTATGTGAACGAATGAGCTGTGCTTTTCTTCTTTTTTAACATAACTGGAGATTGGAATGAAACGCTATGAACTTTAGTAACCTCTTTAGTGACTCGCAGCTGCTTCCAATTACAAACGCGGTCCGGGAGCGCATGGAAAGAAGCTAAATAAGACGATAGGATGGTGTATAGGAGACACCAACATATGAAAGGGGGTTGACAGGAGACAGAAATTACACTTATGGATCCCAAATGGAAAGAAAAACTATATAGAAAAAACAGACAGGAAGGATTTGGTGAGGTCTCTACAAGCAAAATGTGCATGTATGCAGTGGAAAATCTAGGAGCCATGTAGTTTGTATTAGACGAGTTTGAGGGAGTAGTACTGTGATGTAATTGTGTGGTCGTGTTTACATGCGCACACACTCACACACTTAATTGCAATACATAAATTAGTACGCTTGAAATTTTACACTCTAAGTTGCAATAACAGCATTGAAACATCTACTTGGCAAAAACTAGAACGTTGGATCAGTTTAATTTTTCAATTCCCACTGTTTTTGCAACGAACCATGAAATATAGTTTTGGGGAAAAAAAATCTTAATAGATAAAAGACAGAAACACAACAGCTTTGAACCACACCAAAAAAAACAAAAAGTGCACAAGTCTTTTTCCCACAACACAGTTCAAACAGTGTGCTATTTGTGTCTCATGGTTGAAACTAATGAAAACAAGACAAACCAGACGGGAATGTATCCATGCCAACAGTAACACCAAGCACTGCTGAGTAATCCAGCCCGGGTAATCATGCTACTCCTTTACTGTGAACCAGGTTGAGGGAGACGGGAGCCTTTCTTCAGTCTTCAAATGTAATTAATGACAATGCATGTTTAAAAGGTTCATAACCCTAGTGCTATCCTTGGGTCAAACTGACCCACCACAATGATAAAAAAAAAAAAAAAAAAAAAAAATAGTTGGATATAAACGATTTGCCCTAACGTGACCAGCCCTGGCTAATTTACCCTTTAGACCCTGATTTATATTTTTCTATTTTTAGTACTACTCAGAGGGTAGCAGAGACATAGTATTGCAAAATATTCCTTCCACAAAGAAAACAGGAAGATGTTAGAACTGCAGTGTTTGTTCATCTCTTCTTCATGTTTTTGCATTCACTCACCAAGCTAAGGATTCTCCTTAGGAATTCCTTGTTGGAATTTCTCCTACAGGGTATCAAAAAAGTATATATCTATCTATCTACCAAGCTTAGAGATGAAAAACCACTTGATTTGTACATAAAATTAATTGGTATGTAGTATACTCCAGTTACCACTATATCCCCCTCTGTCCTATAGCCACATCCCTCCCACATGTAGGAGAAGCAGCACATTTGAAGGCCTGGCAGGGCATCAGCAAGCCTCCCCCTCCACCCTTGTCTTTGTGTGTATAAATGGTTTTTGTTTACTGTTGTCTCTGCATGTATCTTGTTACCATTTGGTGTCTTCTTTAAGGTTTTTGTTTTATGCCCATTATAATAAGTAACAACTAAATTCTAAATTGTGGTACATCTTTGCAATATCAATATTGAACTTGCCATAAGCTTTATAACAAAAGTTTTTGACAATAGTGTTTGACTTGGACCTATTTTTTAATGTGTTAAAAGGGAGAAATTAAATTATTCAAACACCATTAGAAATCAAGAGCAGAGTTCTGCTTTCATGTTAATCATGATAATAACCACTAATATGCTAACAGCACACAGGCACCACTTTCTGCCTGTTGGCCATAGACGCAGTGTACCATTAGCACCTTTAAAGCCAACCTGCGTTCCAGACCGAGAATACATACAAAAAGGAAGTCCGCAAAGGACGCCCAAAACATCTTAAGTCTAAACCATAAAAAAAAAAAAAGGGAGATAAAAGATTTGTGGGTTCTATCTTTATACCCAACTTTCAAATCTCACACAACACTCAACAACAATTTGGTTTTATTGTACTATGTATTTTTGTATGTATTATTTGGGAAAAATAAAATAATAGTTCCTAATAATTCCTAATTTCAGTGAGTACTATCATTGACTAGTTTCAAGTTGTTTTGCCACAAATTCATTCTTTGCAAGCTTAATCATTTCTTTCAATACAATTATCCAATTCAACAACAGACAGTACAATTGTTTTGCAGTGATCAGCTGACCCCAGCCCACCTAAGAGGAGCATGAGGCAAAATGTGACTCTTCGAACAGCACCAGACTCCTCGGTGGCCTGCTGTCAAAGTAAACGGGGCAAAAGCATGAATGCGCACTACTCCAGTCGCAACAGTTGGGAGCTTAAGGTAATGGGATACTGAAGCACATGAGAGACTATGGAGTGGGTCAGCCAATTTGAGCTTAGTAAAATAGGTATCAAACAGTTATTCATTTGAATTTTTTACCCACATAACCAAACATAACGTAAAGCATTCATTTGCACAATGTCCAGTGTCTAGAATCCTCCAGAAATATTACAGCCTCGAAAAGGTTCAGGGGTATTTCATGGGTCAGCCAGGCGGAGGGGAACAAAGGAGCGGTGACAGCTGACACACCTCATTGTACTCTCTGTGGAAACGCCCAGTCACCCTTCTCTGTCAGGCCACCTCCGAGCCCCCACGGGACTGGTACGCTGATAAACGTGTACCCAGGCATTTGTCTAACAAATAAAAGTTGCTGTCTGTATTGGCTGGAAGGTAATGGAACAACACTTATGAATGATTGACAATAAAAGAAGGCTTTAGGTATTTTCTCACATTCATTCAAAGCAGCTTATCTCACTTCAGCTGCTTTAGGTTGATTGATTTATACTGGAAACCTGCCGAGGCCAGATTACTTAAGCGGTGTAGACAACAGTACAATCCAACCAAAGTACTGGGACGTCCACACTGTTGAAATTTCTAATTCAACGTTAGGGACACGCTAGGTTCTTAGATTACTATTACAATAGCTAGCAAGATGTATAATTGGCTTTAACAATTATCCGACTTTATTGAACAAAATTTGTTAAACGTCATTGTAATATTTTATTGATCATGTGTTACAGCTGGGGTACCTAACTTTCAACAATCAATGGAACAATAATACATTACCTTTAACTAGGTCCCATCTCTCAAAACATGTTGATACAATCACTAGTTTTCACATGCAAGAGAAGACCACACTCGGCCAATGAGCTCTCAGCTCAAAACGTCAAATAGATCCTCACAGGGCTCTGGATTAAGTATGCCAAATATAAAATGTGTTCCAATGCAGTGGTCTGAGTTATCCACATTCCAACAATTTACAAAAAAAAATATAACAAATAAAAGACTTTCCCTTAACTCTTAATTAAAAAGCTATAATAAAGATTGAGATTCAGTTGTTGCTAAAGATCCTTTGTTGTAAAAGCATGTGATTTTGGAGCTTGAATAATATCTGGATAAGAATAAAATGATCACAGCATGAATAAGATTAAAAAAAACATGCATGTACAGTCCAATACATTTTTATCAATTTAAATGTTATCAAATTCATCCCTGGCTCTATTGTTGATGCACTGCATATAAAACTATTGCCACTTAAGCTGATTGAGTTTCTTAATGATAAGAAAAGGTCCCACAAACAACTTATCTAGTATAGACTAACCAAAGATATCACAACATTTTCTGAACTTCACACTCAAACTTGTGATCTCATCCTGCAGTGTGACGAAGTCACATCTCCTATGGACTCGAAGAAATCTCACTCTGCCCAGCCAAAACGAAGAGAGCAACCAGTTCAAAGACACAGCTGACTCCTTCCACTGTGATAACATTCCTTACCAGAGGGGCGTTTTTTCTCAATCACATGTTTTTTCCTAACCTCCACTTACTTTCCTCTTTCTTGTCTAGAAAGCGCTGGCATGAGTTTGAGAGGACGACTTCCTGTTTGCAAAAGAACAAGGAGAGATTTCCGCCGAAAGTGCTGCATTGCTGGACACAGTGTTCTACCGTTCACACAATTGGAGGAACACAAAGGGTGAGACTTTGGGGCCCTAAACTTCTGAAAAAAAAAAAAAAACTTGACTTACAAGTCAAAAATTGCGAATGTATTTCCCCTGAAACGCAATTGCTGTCAGACAAGTTTGAGCCCTCTATTAACCCCTGCTCATACTTAAATGAACAGCAAGCTCACTGCATCGCGGACATAAGTCTGGTTTGTGCATCACGACCTGCTTCATGCTGATTTACTGCAGCTACAGAGGAAACAACGGGTATTCCAGATGCAACTTTCTCGCCTCATCTTGAAATCTGACTGCAAAATGAATACTCCACATTGGTTGCAATGCTGATTTTTTATATGACAAAAAAAATACATAGCTTTAAAATTAGAGTAGGGCAGAAAGAACGTTGGATTGAAACTTGAATAGTCAACATTAAAGTTATTTTGAGTTGTGTACAGTATAATCAAAATATCAATATATCAATTCTTCTTTGGACAACAGCAAGTCCTTCATTTGGTCAATATCTCAAAGTAGTACAAAATTAAGATATATTGTATAATATGCTGATATGAAACCTGGAAAGTTCTTTTTGAACCATCATCTTAAGCAACAGGACAAAGAGGATACAGACACATGCATACATAGTTCTGTGTACTTGACTAAAGTTGAGATACTGCATCTTCAGATATCCACTTACAAAAGGAACCAAACAACATTATGGCCCAGTCACAACCAGCAAGAGAGTCAAATCACAATACTGTTTCTTGTTACAGTATTACAGTAGTACAGGTAACTTAAGGACTGGATGAATGCAGAGTTTCATATGCTCTTTACAGCCACAGACTAATCCTGGATGTGAAAGTTGAGGTTGCAAAGTCAGTGCTCAAAGCATTCAATATGAGGATTCATACTTAAGAACAGCATTATGTGTGCACAAATAAACTAGAGCAGGTAGAGTTCTGTCTGAAACTGTATCAACTCAAGCATCATTATGCTTCTGAAGGGCTTGTATGGAAGCCTATTGGATGATGTACGTCGACATTCTTTCATTCTACACACGAGACAACAGTATGCATTCAGTGTGCGTGAAAATAGGACGGATTCCTTCTTTGACGGGACATCTGGAGGGGTTCAGATGGCAGTGTCTTACCATCACATTAACACTAACATCTACTTTAACTCTGCCAAAGTCATGTCAAGTCTGCAGTGCTTAAACACGAATACATTCACCAAAAGTCTCCGTGTGGAGCCAAGCACAATTAGAAAGTTCAACTACTTGCCTTCCAACAGTCTGATTGGCCAGTTGTTTCATCCGATTAAACTGTTTCTTCATGTTGGCTTCTTGATTTCAGCGAAACCTCACGAACGGAGAGTTAAAGCCTTTGGTTTGTCATGAAGAACACGGGGTCTGTCCCCGCCGTCTGTCTGCGGTCCTAGAGCTGGTGAAAGTAACCAGGAGCCATTGAGGCTAAAGCCAATTAAAAGAGTAGCAGAGCTAGCAGGACTAGCCTTTCCCAAGATGAGCTTCTAGGGAAAACTTTTTCGCTTCATCGGCGAAGGCATGTTTCTGTATTAAAGCATTAAAGCAAACTCTCACCGGCTGCAGGCGGCTCTAAACCCCATCAGAGGCTTTAGCCGCGGAGCTAAAGTCACAGAGACACGCTGTAATCCAGAGCACAGCGGGCGCAGCACCTCTGCCTCTGGGAGAGAGGACCGTCTGTGACTGTATCATGGACTGGACACATGAGGGAGGAGGAGGACTGACCACTGCGCCACCTTGTGGATACACGCCACCACTGCAGTGACTGTACTGCCCACCACTTGCAAGGGTTGCAATATAATACTATTATACATATAATACTAATTTATATATATATATATATATATATATATATATATATACAGTGCCTTGCGAAAGTATTCAGCCCCCTTGACCCTTTCAACATTTCGTCACATTTCAGGCTTCAAACATAAAGATTTAACATTTTAATTTTTTGTCATGAATCAACAACAAGTGGGACACAATCGTGAAGTGGAACAAAATGTATTGGATAATTTAAACTGTTTTAACGAATAAAAAAACTGAATAGCGGGGCGTGCAATATTATTTGGCCCCTTTACTTTCAGTGCAGAAAACTCACTACAGAAGTTCAGTGAGGATCTTTGAATGATCCAATGTTGTCCTAAATGACTGATGATGATAAATAGAATGCACCTGTGTGTAATCAAGTCTCCGTATAAATGCACCTGCTCTTTGATAGTCTCAGGGTTCTGTTTAAAGCGCAGAGAGAACCATGAAGACAAAGGAACACACCAGGCAGGTCCGAGATACTGTTGTGGAGAAGTTTAAAGCCGGATTTGGATACAAAAAGATTTCCCAAGCTTTAAACATCTCAAGGAGCACTGTGCAAGCAATTATATTGAAATGGAAGGAGTATCAGACCACTGCAAATCTACCAAGACCCGGCCGTCCCTCCAAACTTTCATCTCAAACAAGGAGAAGACTGATCAGAGATGCAGCCAAGAGGCCCATGATCACTCTGGATGAACTGCAGATAATTACAGCTGAGGTGGGAGAGTCTGTACATAGGACAGACTCTATTTATCATCATCAGTCTTAGGACAGCATTGGATCATTCAAAGATCCTCACTGAACTTCTGGACTGAGTTTGCTGCACTGAAAGTAAAGGGGCCGAATAATATTGCACGCCCCACTTTTCAGTTTTTTATTTGTTAAAAAAGTTTAAATTATCCAATAATTTTCGTTCCACTTCACGATTGTGTCCCACTTGTTGTTGATTCATGACAAAAAATTACAATGTTATATCATCTGTATAAAGATTTGTGTAGAAATTCAATACGTTCACGAACGAGTTTTCTGGGTCAGTGGTTGGCAGTCAGAGCTGCACCCAGTACACAGCAGGAGCCCTGATCTTTCAGTGGGGGCTTCAGGCAAAGGGTGTGTCTTGCCCAAGGACACAATGATGGCAGTCATCAGTGGGAGTCGTGAAGTAGGTCTTGTGGTGGGCTCAAACCCACAACCTTCAGGCTTAAAGACCAATGCTCTAACAACTGAGCTACTGTCGCCCCGAGTTCCGTCTTTTTGTCTTATGAATATAATAAAATAATCTATTGTAATAGCTCCATGCTTTTAATGTGAACGTTTTCCATCATTTTGCAAATAGTTCTTCAGTTCCAAAACCCCCTGTTCCGCCATGGTTTTTCTGTGCCCCAAAAGCGGATTTTTCCTTATAAAATAAAGAAGAAGAAAAATACTGCCGAGTGGATGATTGTGGATACGTACCTTGAACAATATTGTGAATACCTGCTAATGAACTCAGATGGATCCAAGGACCCAGAGAGTGGGAAAACAAGCGCTGCGGTGAGCATACCTCAATATGGCATCGGCATTAAAAGAGAGTCAGACACCTTGCCGTACACAGTTGAAATGGTGATTGCGCTTAAATGACTCCTAGTGACATTGTGCATAATGCTGTTATTGCCTCTATCAGTCAGGCAGTGTTGCAAAGTATTGCAACTGAAAGATCCTGCCGGATGGATCTGCTACACAACATATATAATCTCATATTACACCTGAAGAAATCGGAAAAAAACGGTTCTACGTCATGGTGCTACGTCCCTTAGGACTTCGCTAGTGGGATATCACTCGTGACCCCCAGGTCACACGCCAGAGAGATCAAAATAATTTGCTCCAATCACTAGCGACCCTCCTCTATAAAGGCCCCTGCACAAGGCCGCACCCCCTCTTTCACTCTGGCGCCGATTGAGATCTACCACAGTACTTACTTCATTCTGAGATGTCTTCCATTGTTCGTCCGAGTTCCCTTCGCCCTCCGGCGTCGGACGTCGTCGCTGGATCCAGACGGTGGAGGACTTCACCTCTGTGGGCGCCACCACTCAAGGGAGGAGGAGGATACAACCCACGTTGTGCCCGCGGATGGACCCAATCGTCCATTACGCGACACGTGAGTGGCCAAAGCCCCTAGCAGCCAAGAGGCCTGCTCTGGGGTACGGCATGTACTGCAGCGTGCAGGACTGGTCCTGGACCGGTGGTGTCCCGGACATCGAGGATTCAGTCCGCATGGCCCTGCAGCCCTCCACATCCGTGTGGCCCGGCACCAGACCTCTCCTTCCCTCCGAGCGGGACAGGGGGCTGTACTCCCCTTACTTCTTGGTGCCAAAGAAGTCAGGCGGGGTGCGTCCCATTTTGGATTTGCGCGGTCTGAACAAGTGCATTTCCAAACGGCAGTTTCGGATGCTGTCCACAAAACAGCTCCTCGAGTGTGTCAGGCAGGGAGATTGGATGTCCTCCATAGACCTGACAGACGCTTACTTCCACGTGCCGATAGTTCCGGAACACAGGAGGTTCCTGCGCTTCGCAGTGGGAGAGAGGAATTACGAGTACTGCCGTCTCCCCTTCGGCTACGCACTCGCGCCTCGGACCTTCACCAAGTGCGTGGAGGCGGCACTGGAGCCGCTCAGACGCGCAGGGGTAAGAATATTAACCTACATAGACGATTAGTTAATACTGGCCTCATCCAGGGAAGTGGCCGTGAGCCACACGCACTGGGTCCTGTCCCACATACAGCGTCTGGGCTTTGTGGTGAACAGGGAGAAAAGCAAACTGCAGCCGGCTCAGCGCATGATCTATCTCGGCCTGCAGTTAGACTCTGTGACATTCCGTGCTGCATTGTCCGTGGACAGACGGATGAACATTACCCGTCTGGCCAGGGAAGTTCTGGCGGGCCCCAGGGTCCCCGCTCGGCGCCTCAGGTCCCTGCTGGGAATGATGGCGGCGGCTCATGCTGTGGTGCGGCTAGGCCTTCTCCACATGAGGAATTTTCAGAGGTGGTTCTCACGCCTCAGGCTTCACCCCTCCCGGGACGGGCGGAGGCTTATCTGGGTTCCCCAAGTGGCAGCATCGGACATCAGGTTTTGGCTCACTCCGGGTCTATTGCGGGACGGAGTGACTCTGGCCTCTGGGCAGGAGGAGGCCCCCGCTCCAGAGAACGCCCCCGGTTTGGGACCTCAGGGTGGTCCTTAGGGGTCTGTCGGGTCCGCCTTTTGAACCGGCGGCGGAGGCGAGTCCCGAGTGTGTCGCTTTTAAGACGGCCCTCTTGCTGGCGTTGGCGTCTGCTAAGAGGGCGGGCGACTTGTGTGCGCTCTCCGTCCATGCGTCTTGCCTGTCCTTTGGAGAGGGCGACGGCATGGTGGAATTGTGGCCCAATCCGGCTTTTCTCCCCAAGGTCATCACGTCGGCCTTTAGGTTGAGAGTCATCAGGATTAGGGCATTCTATCCGCCACCGCATGCCTCCCCCGAGGAGGAGCGGCGGCACCTTCTGTGTCCTGTCAGAATGCTGAGGCATTACCTGGCCATGACGTCTTCTTTCAGGTTGGGTGACCAGCTGTTTGTGTGTCTTGGCCCCAAGAACAGGGGCGCCCCGCTGTCGGCTCAGCGGCTGGCGCACTGGGTCGCCACGGCTGTGCGGCGGGCGTATCAGGCGCAGGGTCTGGCCCCCCCGGTGGGCGTCAGGTCGCATTACACGCGTGAGATGGCGGCCTCTACGGCCCTCCTCAGGGGGGCGTCGGTCGAGGACGTCTGCCGTGCGGCTTCTTGGGCGTCGTCCTCTTCTTTCGTCCGGTCTTATCTTTTGGATGTGTCGGACCGGTCGGTGGCCAATTCCGTGCTGAGTGCAGCGGACTGAGTTGAGACCGTTAGGTCCCTCCTCTGAGGGGGCCTTCGGTTGACTTTCCGCCCTGGTTCAGGAGCTCTTGGGAGAGGCGTCCTACAGGTGCGGTATTTGTATGTGTGCTTTGGTCAGTCAGGTAGTCCACGTCAGGAGCTCTTGGGAGAGGCGTCCTGTGACTACGGGTGACCTACGGTCTGTGTTACGTGGGGGTGTCCTTGTGAGGAGTGGCCCTGTAACACGCAATTGCTTCTTCTGCCCTGAGTCCTCTCACTTTGTGAGGGTCTTGCTCGGGCGGAGCTCCAATCACTTTTCGCTGGCCTGCTGGGAGTACATGTTCCTACGGCCTCCGCGTTGTGTCCCACTAGCGAAGTCCTAAGGGACGTAGCACCATGACGTAGAATTAATAGTTACCTAATGTAACTTAAGTTCTACGAATAGGTGCGTAGTCCCTTAGCTACGAGCCCATCAGGCCAGCCCGGCTTGGCAGAGTTCAAGAGGGGGTGCGGCCTTGTGCAGGGGCCTTTTATAGAGGAGGGTCGCTAGTGATTGGAGCAAATTATTTTGATCTCTCTGGCGTGTGACCTGGGGGTCACGAGTGATATCCCACTAGCAAAGTCCTAAGGGACTACGCACCTATTCGTAGAACTTAAGTTTATTAGGTAACTATTAATTATGGTCTTGGTTCCTGCTCATGTTGGCGTGGAAGGAAATGAAGGGGCAGACATATGTAGGAGCTGTGAACGTGCATGTCCCTCTGAGTAAAGCGGAAGAGAAATCTGTTGTAAATACAAGAGTCATAGAGTTGTGGCAACAGTATTGGGACTCGACTGACTCTGGGAGACACCTGTACTCCGTGCAAAAAGAAGTTAGAACAAAATATAATGTGGTGGTTGGAAACCGAAGAGAAGAAGTGGTCCTAACACGAATGGTCATACAGGACTGAACCAGGAGAGGGAAACACCACAGTGGGGAATATGACTACTGTTCGCAACCAGAAAATGTAAAACATGTTCTCCTGGAGTTTCAACAATACACTCAACACCGATATGTTCTGGCTGCAGTATTTAACAAGCACAATCTATCATTTACAATGGACACAGTACTTATAAATACAAATGTTCGGAAACAACTGCTGGTTTACTTAAGAAAAACAACACTTTTTGACCGTATTTAAAGAATAACGGAACATCTGAAAGCCCATCACACCCCAGCCCAGTGGGAGGCAGTATATGCTCCTCCGGTGGTGCCGGCTACAAAAATTCTGGAAAGAAGAAGAAGAAGGAAGTTATCATCACTTGCTTCCGGCCCAAACATTTCCATACTTGTGGTAGTGTGACAGTTATTATTAGAATACTAAGATCTATCTGTCTTCTGCAAACCTTCTATTATTCTTATGTATTTATTTTTACCGAGTGCCAGGTTAAAGTAAAAAATAATATAATCAGTCATCTGGGTTTAATCTGTCAAGCTCAGCTGTCAAAACATGCTAGCAGTTAGCATGTGCAGCTAGCTGTATATTAGATCATAGTCACTCTCTAAGGTTCTCCTTTCCAGATTGTAGATATTAAATGGCTTCTCGACAAGCTTTTACTGACTCTGACACTGCGGACGAAGCTGTCAGAGCCACATGCGACGATGCGACTGTGTGCAAACGGTAATAATATATTAAGTATTATTCATCTATGCCTAATGTTTAATTATTTACTGTTACAACAAAACACTTATTAGTGATGGCAACCTGCTTGGTAGTTGCTCAGTAATTTCTAGTGCAACTGTAATAACTACCTAAATATGACTTGTACTCAAATGTTTGTATTGTTTTACAGATTTGCAACTAGTAAGGGATATTGGAAGGACCTTTATATCCAATATTTTGCGAGATCTGTTGGGGATCGTAAAGCCCCAGAAATAAACAGAGGTGAGTCCATAATTGATTGTCAATTTAGAACCTCAGGCATTGCAATTATTTTAGGTTCACTTCAAATTACTGATGATCAGAGGAGTTTTGTGGTCATTCATTGTCAAAAGTTGCATCTTTTATAAAACGTATCATATTATTTGTATTGTGTCAATAATTACAGTAATAATTCATTAATTTCACTCACAACAAACATACTCTCATCTAAAGTTCATGTGGTTTACGTGGCACCTTTACAAAACGTATGTCCATTAGTGAGACACAATACTAAATTTTAAAAATCTATTTTACTCTTCCGATATTACTTTTATAAATGTGATTGTTCATCTCAAAAGTACTATATTTATTAAGGGGCAACAAGGTTTTATAAAACTGATAATTTTTTTAATTGACCAGAACATTCATGTCCTGTTTATGTAATTGTATGTGTCTCTACACTTGCTCTCTCTACACTTGCTAAAATTATTATCTAGTTTTATTCTGGTTTTAGTATTGAGTAACATCTGATGCCTTTGATGAGCCTAATGTACCCTTCAAGGTTACTATGCTCGTGTTACGGGGGTCAACCATCTCCTTGACGCTTTCATTCGTAAAGCCGAGAGTGACTGTCAAGTTATCAATCTTGGTGCAGGATTAGACACCACTTTCTGGAGACTAAAGGTGAGGCATTCATTGAGCTGTTTGTTTGTTGGTTGTGGTTTTGTTGGTTGTGGTTTTGTGTTCACATAAACTGAACATGTGTGTGAACATAGGAAGAAAACCTCTTGCCAAGGAAGTACTTTGAAGTTGATTTTCCAACAGTTGTGGCCAGAAAAATACACCACATCAAGTAAGACAACTCTTTTTTGGTACCGCAGATGTTCATTACAGTTTTTCTCTATTGCTTAAACATTTTTCACGATACTGCCTGACTTTTCTAAAGTTACGTACGCGCAACCTCAGAGTCTCTTTTCAAAACTGACCCATCACACCAAAACAGTTGCTCATATGCTCAAAAGCAAACTCTCACACCACAATACCACACAAGGCCTGCAAAAATGTAAACACTACTGAGCATCATTAACCCAAGCCCTGGCAATCCAAGATGGCGCCCTATTCAAATGAATGGCATGTGCTCAGTAGCGCATGGGACTTCACCGGGTCCGAAAGATTATCGGAACTCGCCTATATTTGGGCATCGTCTGGTCCTCCCGATTCTGTGCAGTGGACGAGCTCCCATAATGCGTTGCCAAATACGCTGACCAATCAGGGCTGCTGATCCAAGCAGCGGTAGGGCGGAAGGAAACAAGCAGTTTGTGGCAGTAAAGTGTCGATTTAAAGAAAACCGAAGGATTTAAGAAGAAAAACAGTTCAGGATGACTTTGAGTTCAATAGGGACCTTTTTCTGGGAAGCCCACTGGAATTTAGTCTGCAGTACCACGGACGCCCCCTGTGCCCATGGGTGGGACATATGCTATATATGCTAGTAATACCCTATCCAGTTATTATTATAGATCCATGCATTAACCACATTACAATTACATTACAATGGAAAACACAATTTTCAGAGTGTGAGTCTGTTCTTTTTACAGTTACACAGCTGCTAGGATGCATTTGAGCAACCCTTATTTTTTTTAATATATGTATAGGGCATTTACTATAGATTTGTGAGTTTCATGGGAATAGTTAAATAATGCAGAAAGTAAAGTTATATTACAACTCAATGTAAACATGAGTAACTCCATGAGGATCCATTACACACAATAGATACTACTTGCTCTCATTTCATCTGTAATGAAAATGCGTTGTCTTGCTCGCCCTCCTTTTCCTCTCCCTCCTTGGTCTGCTCCTCTTTGGACTGCTTCTCGCTCTCTTTGGCCCACTCCTTGGCCTGCTCCTCTCCCTCCTTGACCTGCTCCTCTTATGCAAAATGTGTTTTAGCAAAGGCAAAATCTGTTTCGAATTTGGCAAAAAAGGGGATGGGTTTTTTGAACAGTGTCTACAGCTGAATTGTGTTTGTTTGTGGTTGTGGTAAGTGGGGGGTAGTTTTACTAAATGGGTTTAGGCAACTGGTCATTTGCTTTAAAGTACTGGGTTTTGTGTTGTAGCAATAGAGAAAAGCTGTAACATCAGGCAGAAAAAAGCACTGGAGAAAAACTTGCATTATAATGTTGTCATGTGTTCCATTGGCCAATAGAGGGAGACATATTTAACTTATTTATAGCTGGGGTACCTAACTTTCAAACCTTAACATATGAAAACGATGCTATAAAATCCATCTAACTAGCTCCTCGCTGTCTCAACAGTTTGGTTCTATCACTGTTTTTCACATGTGTATGTTTAGCCTCAGATTTCTCAGACATCCATCCATTTTCTTCTTAATACGTTTATGGGTCAGGGGGTGGCAGTCAGAGCTGAACCCAGTACACATAGCACCAGCTCCTCACTGATCCTCCTGCAGGTGGTGAGTCCACAGGAGGACAGCTGCTCTTGTCTGAGCTGCCTTGATTTTTCAGCGGGGGCTTCAGGCAAAGTGGAGCTTCAGGCAAAGTGGGGTTAAATGTCTTACCAAAGGACACAACAACAGGAGACATCAGTGGGAGTCTTGAAGTAGGTCTCGTGGTGGGCTTGAACCCACGACCTTCAGGCCCAAAGGCCAATGCTCTACCAACTGAGTCACTGTCGCCTCTCTAAGACAAAGAGAGGACCACCCTCACTGAGCTAAGGGTCAAGAGTAACGCTCTTACAAGCATGAAACATATAACATGTTGCCTAATACACTCAACAAAAATGTAAACGCAACTCTTTTGTCTTTGCTCCCATTGGGCCTCATGTATGAAAATTGCGCAGAAAAAGGTGTACATTTTGGGTGTAGATTCCAGATACGCAAAATCTGATGTGGCATTTATGAACGTGTGAGATACGCACAGATCTGAGCGTATGCACCTGCAGCTGTTGATAAATGCCGCACTTAAAACCAGCGTATTTATGAAAGTCACGCCTAGAAATATTCAGAAACTTCCTGTTCCACGCCCTGTTTTTGCGACAGGTCAGAAGTCGGCTAAGAAGCCGCAAAAAGCACGCACTTTTTTTTTTTCTTTTTTTTTTTTTATTGCAGACAAACACATATACAGAAAAAAAAAATAGAAACAAAGAAAAGGACTAGTTCAGATACATTGTAGACATTGTAGATTAAAAACAATATGTAGTTGGAGATACAGGGGATCAAAGAAGAAACCCAGAAGGGCACATAGGAGGGGGGGGGGGGGATGTTTCTATTGAGAGTGAGGAGTTGTCGTCATAGCACAGAGCCCCTCCCCGTCTCCGCCATGTTGGTAGGAACCCAGCGGCAAACACTTGTTGTTAACTCGGTAGCAAAGGAGGTCGTCGCTATTTCTGTTTTACCATGCCTGGAGCTCATTGCTGTGTTAAAAACTGCTCCAGTACCTCACACAATAAGAAAGGAAAACGTAGGAACAACGGTTTACAATTTTTTAGGCTACCAAAATGGATACAACATCAGGGAGCGCAAGTGTCTGACCTGACGAAGAGACGCCGGATGGCTTGGTTGGCTGCAATAAGAAGAAAGGACCTTACTTTCGATCTCACCCCCCAGTCGATGAGAGTGTGTTCTCTGCATTTTCACTCGGGTACGTCCTAAAATGTCTTTATGTTGTTTTTTTAAAGTTAAGAAGTGTAGGTTACCTAGCTGTTAATGTTGCAAACTCTGAAGTGCATCTTAAGTTAGCTGCCTAGCTAACTATCTAACAAACTGTTGCCTCTATGAAAATGCTTAATGGCCAACCATTAATGTTAACTAAGAATATTTAAGTTTCTGCTCATTATCCTACCTTGTTGGTGGAATATGGGCACTCAAAGTGCGTTTGTCTCTGTCTCTTATGTTCTCTAAACCAGTGGTGCCCAAACTTGTTTTTTGTCTTGTGTTGCCACTACCCCCTGAGCCCTTTTATGAAACCATGAATAGCGTTACCTTCTTGTTTAATATTTCTTTAGATTCCAGATTGTTTAATAATCTTATTAATCTGATATAAGTAAACCATTATATGAGATTGCTAAAAATAGTTGGGATTCTGTTCATGACATTATGCTACCTTGTTGCCAGTTTAAAGCATTGACTACATAGATTATTCTGTTCTAGGTAAACCATCATATGAGATGTTGGAGAATCACCCTGACTGGACACCATCCTTGCGGTTAGGCCACAATAATGTTAAAGAAACAGATGGAGTGCGATATCAGCGGCAAGTAAAGCGCAGGACCCAGCATCTGGAGCAGTCATCACTCCCAGCCCAAGCCCAGCAGCCCCCATCGCCAGCCCAAGCCCAGCAGCCCCCATCGCCAGCCCAAGCCCAGCAGCCCCCATCGCCCGCCCAGCAGCTGCCAGCCCAGCAGCTGCCTCAAGGAAGGATGAGGAAGCTCTCTCCCTTACAGCTTGTCCTATTGACTGTAATGCGCCTCAGATTAGACCTTCCATCTCAGAATTCACGTTGAGAGGGTGATTGGTGTTGTGCGCAACAAATTCAAATTCTTACATTCAACTGTACCTGTGCATATGCTTCTCAACTGTGAGGGTGAAAACCTAATGCCTTTAGATAAGATTGTCACTGTTTGCTGTGCCTTAACGAACATGTGCAAAAGTGTTGTTTGAGTGCCTTGTTCATAACTTATGAACCAACCAGAACCCCTCATGTCATCTGGATCCGAGTCCAGAGTCAGAACCAGACACGGAGAAGCTGCATTCAGCTTCTATGCTCCACATGTCTGGAACAAACTCCCAGAAAGCCTCAGATCAGCTGAAACACTCAGTTTGTTTACATCCAGGTTAAAGACCCACCTGTTCTCAGCTGCTTTTGAATATGTTTTATTCTAATGTACAAATCTGCACGGCTTCTTTTAAGCTGGAATTACTTATCTGTTATCTTTTTCTTATGAATTTTTGTTTTTAATTTTAAATCATGCTTTTTATTCTGTTACTTTTTAATGCTTCTTCTGCACCCAGCTGTAATGCTTCTTAATTTTTTATTTAAAGTACTTTGAATTGTTTTGTAACATGAATTGTGCTGTACAAATAAACTTGCCTTGCCTTTTTAATTTCTTTGAAATAAATGTTTGAAACAACTTCATGTGGCAAAGCAATATTTATGAGAAATTAACATTTTTTTGGAGGGGGGGGTGTAATCTCTTGGAAAAGTTAACAGTGCAAAAGAACGTGTGCAGTCAACGTATAAATATTTCAGCATGAAAAGACGGACAACATAATAATAAAATAGTAACACTGCTGTTAGTGCAAGTACAACAGTGTTTTCACCGCCTGGAGGCTTGTAGATGGCCAAGTCCTGCACCCAACCACAGCAGAAAGCCTCGTAACTCTCCAGTGACTTGTGACTTCTAAACTCCTGCATTGTATAATAACTAACACCGAAAACAAGGTAATTCACTATATCCATGTACGTGCACGGAGGCAAAAAGTCAAGGTATTTTTGCCACTCCGCTGCAGGAAGCTTGTATGGGTCTACCTGTTGTATGTCTGAGAGCTTCTCCAAATAACGTTGTTTTGCTTTTCCCTGTACGGTCCATTTCCTTTCGCCTTCACTTTCTCCATTAACTGTCTTGCTAGTGTTGTAATCGTAGATTTATCTACTGCCGAAATAATAAACGGCCGCTCAAGTTAAAGACCTCTGGAGCGTTAGCATAGACTGTAGCTATATATTGAGCGTTAGTGGCGTTGCCCCTGGCAACCGATAGAGGATCCTATCAACATGGCCGACCGGATTAGACTCCGCCCAAATTATCACGTGACTCCTCATTCTCAATACAGTCTATGGTCTATACCCACACACACACCCACACACACCCACACCCATAAACACACACACACACACACACACATACACTTCACAGATAACATAGGCGGGCAGACTTTATATCTTGAGTTTCACCAAGCTAAGTGGAACCCAGCCAACATCAAAACCAAATCCGACACACACACAGACCCCCAAGCAGGCCCCCACCCCAAAAAGGGGGGGAGGGAGCCTCTCTCTTATTTTGTTCCTTTTTCCCAAGTGTTTTTCTTAACTAAACGTGTCATGCATTAAAATAAGCTTTCGCTTACCCTGACTTGTGTATTATCATTATATGCACATATGCACATATTATTCATGTTATTATTATATTTATCTACTTATTCATTCATTTTTTATTTTATTTTATTATAAGCACGCACTTTTGAGTTTATTAACCTTTAAAAATATATATATATACGCTATATTATATATACACTTTTTTCCCTAGTGTCTAGACCCACTGCAGCACTCATCTCTCCTGAAATCTCGATGTAAATAAATAAATAAATAAATAATAAATGACCTGAATGAATGAATGAACTATACTGCTGGTGGGCGTCTCCATCCTATCTTTGCTCTGCGGAGTACAGGGCAGTGGATGAGACAGTTTTGAGCAAGATCGGGTGCATTTATGGGGCTTTATTCACAAAACTAAGGAAAACCCACATTGCTTTGCCAGAGGTGAATGAGGCAAAACATATGCGTAATTACGTGTACGGCGCAGGGTCTGCCACAGGTTGTTCATGCTTATGTAAAAATAAATATACGCTATGCTATTTATTCAGCTGCGTTTTGAACAAATTTGCAGAAATGTTTTGATAAATTATAAAAATCTCTCTTGGATTGTAGAAGTTAATAAATAATGAATGAATGAATCCATATTGTGCAGCGGTGGCGCTCATCAATGAAGTGTCTGCAGCGTCTTGTGAATGCACTGAAGCGCTGTACACTGTCCAGAGCTCCAGAGTTTACAGAGAAACTCTGGAGCCAAGACTTCTGAATGACAGCATTTGAGGAGTTATGTGGCGCGTCTCTAATAGCACCTGCTGTGGATGCACTCCCAAGAGTGTGCAGCGGGTGTGTCTGTGTGAGGCTTACACAAATCTAATGAAAACATACATTGCTTTACCAGATGTGAGGAATACAAATAGCCGTGCGTAATTACGCAGCGCAGAGCCTGCCACAGCAATAGCTGGGTCACACATCCCTGTCGCGTAAAGTGTATTTATATAGAGCCTTTCACAGTCCTGGATCACAAAGCGCTTCACATTTTAAAAACATACAGATCAAAATAATACACACACAAGTCAGATTTAAAATCATAGAAACAGAAGAGGCTCCTCATCATGATCTGCGATTTATTTGAAGTTTGCGTGTTTCCAGTGTTAGACTTTTTCTGATGCGCAAATTCAAATTCCGAAACATGATGCTCCATGAAAACACAGCTTATAATTATGCCAGAGTGGGAACATGTTTATTGTTGTCCAAATCTTGAATTTCATGCGTGCTTTGGCGCATTGTGACGAAGGGTGAAAGGAGTGTACACATTTACACCACCTATTGACTTGGTGTAAATTCTGTGCGTACCGTACGCTCACGTCCAGATTGATAAATTCGGAAAAGTGTAAATTTTTTGCGTACGCATCATTTACACCCTGATTTGGCCGTACGCAAGTTTCATACATGAGGCCCAATAACCATGAGATGGACTTAAAGATCTAAAATTCATTCCAGATACACAATATAACCATTTCTCTCAAACATTGTTCACAAATCTGTCCAAACGTGGGATAGGGAGCACTTCTGCTTTGATGAGATTATCCATCCCACCTCACAGGTGTGCCACATCAAGATGCTGATCTGACATCATGATTAGTGCACAGGTGTGCCTTAGACTGTCCACAATAAAAGGCCACTCTGAAATGTGCATTATTTTACTTTATTGGGGGTCTGGGGACTCAGAACCAGTCAGTATCTTCTTCTAGTGATGGCAATATGAAGCCCCATGAAGCCTTGAGGGATCGCAGCCTATTACTCGGCCCATGAGTCGAAGGCTCGAGGTGAATCATGCTCCACTACGCCATCATGTGGACAAAGAAATGTAATACATGCCAAGGGCCTATAACAAATGGTAGGGTCTGAACATGGGCTGAAAGAATACAGCCAATGATGTGGAGACAGTTGTTATGTAAAATGTGCTTGTTACTTTGTTTATGTAAGTGCTTATGCAACTATTGACAAGAGTTGAAAAACAAACAATACAGTTATTCATTTTTATTCAAAAATAATAATTTTTCAAGAGTATTTGGACTCAGGCGATTTCTTTTTTTGCACAGTATTTCACCTGCCTTTGAAAAAACCCGTTCACAGGGCACAGAGGATGCAGGTGAACATAAATATGTAATGGCAAGTTTATATAAATTTGGAAATGTAAACTTATGTTTGTCCCAATATTGAAGGGGACTTTCGAGTCGAGGAATATTTGGCTCCCCCAGGTATGTTTGGACCTCCACTGTAGCGTTGGCAGTTATGTTTGGGATTTTGGTCTGCTGGCATGTCGTGTCAAAACGTTGCCACAGTTTGCTCCCTAAAACAGAATAAACAGGTTATAAGTGACTTATTAGCACAAATAGATTCAGATTCAGATTCATTTATTTGCCATTTGCAGTAAAACCACATAGGAAAAACTGTGCAAGACTACCCCGGTGTGCACCAGACGACACACACCAGAGCTCTTGCCACGGCGCCATCTTTACGGCGCCATCAATAGAGTATACATATTACCTTCAGCTACAGATGATGGTGATGATGATGATGGTGATGGTGGTGATGATGATGATGATGAAGCAGAAGCGGACAATGAAAGTCTCAAAACTCGAGCACATTCGCCAATCAATCTTTTTTCAGCTTCTGCTGCCTTATTGGGGTTGAAGAATACAATCTTTTTAAATCTGGGATCAAGCAAGGTAGAGAGGGACATGATGCTCATTGATTGGAGGTGGCTGAGCTTGTCCCTCAGTTGTCTTCGCAAATACTCAGCCATGTCTCTGCTCTCAGGTGTTTGGATATGGCCATCTCCTCTTCTTCCAGAGCATTATGGAGAATGGTCAAAAGTGGAACTACTTTTGATCCAGAGACTTTTTTCTCCTCGGACACCTCAATTGTGGCATAGTAGAATGGAGCGAGCACCTTCAGACAGTCTGCAATGATGTTATATTGTTCTGCTGAGATTTGTGTAATGTCTGTACGAAGCCCAGCCAAAGCTGCTCCAACAGGCTCTCTCAGGTTGAACAGACGCT